TCGCATTGATTGGCGCCTTGTACTCCTCTCGGAGTCGAGGAGGTTCCAGTTACTTGGGGGCTATGTATATCGTTTCAGAGCGATTTTTGACATATGCTCCAAGAGAAAAATGTTCATAGAAAAAGCAAATACACCGGAATAATAAATAAAAACAATGCAAAAAATGTGACTTCAGTCCTCCTTTAACATCATGAATAGCTTTAGGAATTCATTCACGAAAACTGTGGTAAAGTATATGCAACGGGGGTATATCCCAATTTTCCCGCCAATATCATTCTTGTTTCGTTGTATACTCCAAAATGGCTCAATGAATCTTTGGTACGTCTCGTGGTAGAATGTTTTGATCTTGCCTCCGTTTTTTTTCAGAATGCAGCATGGCCTGTAATTCACAACCACATCTTCCATGATCAGATCAGAAATCTAGTCAAACATCCAGGATACTTTGACCGGGAGGTGTTAAAAAAAGCTTCTGAACTCACAAACTCAATACTCAACTACACGGGAATCTCCAAGTAAGTATTTGTTCTTGCTCGCAGTTAGCAACAAAGACACGTTTCAGCTACAAGTACGAAATGCTGATCGTCAAGGCACCAAAAAAAAACTTTCAGTTTCATTTCGAAAGTCTATCCAACAATTTTCATTTCGATGAAGGAGACTTTGGTTTTAATACTGTTCTTATTCGTAGACCATTCAACTATTCGAACCACATGGATCAATGTAACAAAACAAGTTACTGTATAGATCAACAGTTTTATATTTTCAGTCAATCTCGAAAAGAAAATGCGACGATTGGCGGACTATGCAGACGAGCTGAAAATAAATATTACGTACGAAATGAAGTAAGTGACTAGGAACCTACGTATTGTTTAGTTTTTACTATAACAAAGTGCTAAAAATTATTTGCAGGGATCTCTATGACTCTGCAAAGATAGTCGATATAGCTAAAGGACTGAAAAACAAACTGGGTAGTTTTGTATCCAAAAACGGATTCCAAGGCTTTGCAATCGTTCGAAAATGGGAGAAAACTCCTTTCAAATCGTGTTCAGCAATTGAGGATGTGCAGTATTCCTATGACTCTTTCAGTACCATTTATAGTTACACTTATCAAAACTCAGGCAATTGGTTTCAACACTGCGAAACTTTCAACTTTTATTTCTTCTTGTAATCGATTTACTTATTAAAAAATGAATCTTGAAGAATAGCTTCCGCTTCTAATTTTTTTACGACAACTCTTGGAAACATGTTTTCAATGATCAATTACTCCCGAGGAAATCTCGACATTTATCAGTTTTGCTTCAGTTGTTGAGCGCCAGGAGATTATTACTTAGCTTTCGAGATAATGCGATAACTAACTGGTAGTTCTATAGATCCATAGTTGTCCTCCGGCCCGGCCCTAAAGGCCCGCCAGTTACCGCGAAATTTGAATTCAATTTTTCAAAATCGAAAAATGACCTGATTTCAGCCTATTTTGTGTAAATGTCACATATTTTGCATGTTGGGAGTAGTTTGAGTGGTTGAATCACGAATCAGCCAAAAATTTAAAATTTTTGAAAATTTTGTGTTTTTTCCGTAATTTTGAGGTGAATTTTTCAAAATTTTTCCCGGTGCGGGACGAGCAGGCCCGGCCGGTCTGCTATTTCACAAGTATGTATAGATATTCCCTTTGATGTACCTAATCGACGGTGGCTAATCCATCGAATGGTCTTACGTCATCTCTTTCGATTGTTTTTTTGGAAAAGAAGACACCATACGGTATGATGAGACGAAGAGAAAAAGAGAGACCAGATATCGTGAGGTCAGGTCAACGTGGTCCCTTCATAGACGAGAACCACTGTGTGTTGCCTCCTCTCCATTCACTGTATGCGTTCCCTTTTTTTAACGTTTTTATTAATTGATTATTATTTAAAAAAAAAAACGGAAAAGCACCGTGCCCTAAATCACTGACCCTCGCCCCCGAAATCGCACGTGGCGATTATTTCCCACGTCCCACCGTCTCACAATATTTTTCATTTGACGAAATATGCACCACCCATTCATGCTGCAGTATATACCACGTCAAAAACTATTTTCAAAGTTTTTAATCTATGGAGGTCTCCTTCAACTTTTCATCATCTCCATTTTTCTAGTTTACAGGAGTGAGGATAAGCCGGAGGGTAAGTTTTAGTCCCGGCTCCCTTACCTAAAAAAAATTCTCCAGAATCCGCATTCCACGACCATGACACCACAAACAACTACATGAATGTGTGCTCCCTTCCGGTTTACGATTATTGGCATCCGAAAGTGATGCAGCACATAGATTACGATTTTGATCCGACTTCTCATTGTGATAGGGAGTTTAAGCCGTTCACAGAATTGAAGAATGGATCATGGAGGATTGTGGAGGAGAGAAAGGGGATGAATTGTTCGGCGAGGTGAGTTTCAGCAAGTTTTTCTGACTGATATTAAGATTTTACCAGTTAGTGGCACTTTAGAAAAAAAAACAAAAAGTTTCCACCCTAGGTAGATTCGAACCCGCGTCGAAAAATTCGCGGGCGGCAGCGTTAGCCACTGCGCCACGCGTGCCGCAAGAGGCGGATAGGGGAGAGGTCCTAGAGAATACTGCGCGTTTCCCCTCTTCTCAGGGAGAGGGGGGTGGGGGTACAAACCTCTCAAAAAAATCAATAATTTTCCAGATGCTTCACCGGAATCGACGACTATCATGTGAACATCACCGATTGGATGCCACCGGGACCCGTCTCCTGTGAATTCTTGGAGGCGGTTTGCTGGAAAGATGACAGGGAAGTCTACGGTTACATACATACTCAGATTATTCCAAAGTGAGATTGAACTGTCGTAAAGTATGCTGCCGAGTCCCCAAACACCGCAAATTTCCAGAAAATCCGAGGTCAAAACCCTGGTCCCAAGTCCTCCAAGTGTCTTCGTTTTCCTCTTTGACTCTATGAGCACAGGGCAGGCGAAACGGTGCGGGTTTTGAATTTTTTTTTTGAATTTTTTTACGCGCAATTTCAAATTTCAAATTTCCAGATCATTCCCCAAGACCCTCTCGGCACTTTCCTCTCGCCTCGAATCCATCGAATTCCCATTTGTGAATAAAGTTGGCGAGAATAGTATGCCCAATGGAATTCCGTTGTGGTTTGGTGAGTTTGTAGTTTTTGTAGTCTTTGTAGTTTGAACTTTTTTAGGAAAATCAATTGAGGATATCAACGGGGAAAACTACGGAGGAGTGAATATCAAAGCGGATTGGGATAAAAATCGATATTGCTATTCATTTTTGAATCAATCGATTTTTGAGGATTTTGAGAGTTATGGGTATACGGTAAGTTCGTGTCGAGACCCAAAAAAAATTTTGATCAGAACCAGGGCTTGTGGGTACTTTTTCGAACTGTCTTGGTTTGCTGAGTCCAAAAATCTGAAAATTTTCGAGGTCCGAAGAAAACTGACCGATTTCCAGACCCTCTCCATCGACGACTGGAAGGCTCAAATGGTCAACTACCCCAACTGTCATGGCTTCCAGCATTCACCCTCCCATCACTATATGCATCCATTTTACATGATCTATGAGAAATTCGGAATGAAAATCACCCAAAAACATCTTGCCGGACAGTTTTGCAGAGAGGAACGGCATCCGGCTTTTGAGTATTTTCAGGATTTTGTGGATACTTATAAAGGTATTTTTGAGAAAAGAAACAAAAAAGAACTGGAGACAGTGGGAATCGAACTCAGATGGAGAAAATCACAGTGAATTTTTTTGTACGTGTTTTCAAAAGTGGCTCTGCGGGCTCTGTCTTACTGTAGGGTCGCATGCCAACTGCGTGGCGACTCAGCGATACGTAGGTATTTGCCTCATTTCGTTGGAAAATAAAAATCAGGGCCTAAGCTTTTTTGAATCAAATTGAATAGAACTTTTTCTTCGCATCACGTTGAATACAATATTGACCGAATTTGATCAAAAATTATCACTGAAAAGTGCCCTGGAAACATGATGCGCGCTCCTTCAGCTTAAGCGCGGCTTACTGTCATATTTTGAATATTTCAGAAGAACCAAAATTCACATGGACGTGGATCAACTCTTTGGGCCATGACTATATCAATGGATTCATGAGAGTGGATGAGGAAATGTTGGAGATTATTGAGAGGAACTTGGAAATGGTAAGTAGCCGCGACGCGACCGCAACGCTTTGTTTTGCAGTTCGAAAACTCATTCGTCCTATTCATGGGTGATCATGGACTACGCCTTGGAAAGAAGCGATTCATGGAGACTGACATTGGAAGTCTGGAGATGCACAATCCATACTTGTCGATTTCGATTCCGAAGAGCCTCCGGAAAAATCAAGCGATTCTGGAGATAATGAGACAGAATTCAAGGAAGTTGCAGACGCATTTTGATACGAGAGCCACTATTTTGGACATTTTGAAGGTGAGGGAAACGCAAAAAAAAGTAAAAAAAAAAAGTAAAAAAAAATTGACCCCTGGCGGAATTGAACCCGCGTTGAAAAATTGGTGGTCGGCAGCGCTAACCACTGCGCCACGGTGTGCAACGGCAGGAGAGGGGGCAGAGGGCATAGACATTGTTGCGCTTCTCGCCTAAACCCCCCCCCCCCCTTCCCTAGTCCCCAGTGATGGCTGACTTTTCAGTACCAACCCGAATCCGGCTTCTCCGACAGGACCACCATGAACATCCCCAATGAAAAAGGACACTCATATCTCCGTCGTCAACCATCATTCCCAAGAACTTGTGGCCAACTTCCAATTCCTCCAGAATATTGTATTTGTCGAGTGGAGAAGACGCCGGTGACAGAGTGAGTGGGCGTGGTTTAGAAAGTGGCGGAGCCTACATTTTTCAGTGAAAACCTGCGAAATCGATTTGGAAATTTGTTGATTGATCATGTTCACGATTTGCTGGATAACGCTAACTTCTCGTCAATTTGCGAGCGATTTGAGTTTTTGGAGGTAAGCGAGACGCAGAGAAGCCAGAGTGTCTAGATGTCTGCGCTCTCTCCTCTCTTGGCAAACTAGGAAGAACATTCCAGGTGACCTCCCTCCTCCACTACGGCCACCTAAACCACTCGGAATCCACTCATAACTATGAGATTATCGTAATGGCCGATGCACCAAGTTACGCGCAATTTCAAACGATTTTAATGCATAATAAGGAAACGAGTCAAGTGTCATTCGGGAATATTGTTCGATTGGATAAATATGGAGACACGGGTGATTGTACAAGTAGTAGTCGATTCGAGAAAATGTGCTTCTGTAAGAATTTGACGTTCCGACAGAAATGGGATTATCGATTTGTTAAACAGTGGAAGCGACTGGAAGCTGCTATTGAGTATTATTTGTTGTGATATTTTTTCCGTTTTTTTTTTTGTATTTTTTGTCGTAAAATACAATGCCGAGTCTGCAAACACCGCAAAAAATTCTACTGTTTCATTTCCAAAAATTCCAAGAGATCATCTTTCGAAAAAGGGGTTGAAAAACAGAAAGGTAGAGAAAAAGAGAAGAGATACCCGAGAAAACTAGCTCAAAACTATCCGATTTTTGATTTTCGAAAAAAAAGTGCTTAGCAATTCGATAGCAACGCAGAAAACTCGTTTTCCAATGGAGGCTGAGTCAGTTGGAGCTGAAGAGTTGTGCAGTTGACAGCCAGCTCTCCGCAGATTCTGACAACGTCTCGGCGGAGGGTGTTGAAGGTCTGAAAGGAGATATTGTCATCAGGAAAAAGAATGGAAGCCGTGACGCGACCGCAACGCGCTTAACATAACGAAGTACTAATTTCGTGTGCTGAAATGCCGGAATACCTTCAAGCTCGAAAACCGCGACGCGACCGCAACGCGTCTAATATTATTGACAGTACAGGAAACCTAGCTGTTTATCATTCAGTTCGAAAACTCGTAGAAAAAAAATTCCGAAAAAAAATTATTTTTCAAAAATTTCGTACCGAAAAAATCGAAAAAAAATTTTTTTTTTCTGATTTTTCAGGGCGAAAAAAATCGAAAAAAAATTATTTTTCAAAAATTTCGAACCGAAAAAAAAACGAAAAATGATTTTTCGGGATTTTTCAATTTTTTTCGGAAAAATCAAGAGATTCTGGAGATAATGAGACAGAAATCCAAAATAATTTTGGATATTTCCAAGATAAGCTAAGGGAAAAAACGCAAAAATTAAAAAAAAAATTGGTACAGGAGTTGCGACGGGACCGCGACGCGTCTAACGTCACTGAGTGTCGAAAACTCTATAAAAACTCACAGTTTGATCTCCGTTAACTTGCAATTTCGCCATGACCCGACTCATTTGTTTCATATCATTTGCAATCAAAGTTTTCGTCATATCCACTTCAGTCCTCTGAGTTGCAGTGGTTACTCGATCCCTCATCCCAGACGCCACTATTAGCATCTCCCGGAGTTGAGAGGTCACCTCTTTGACGGAATGGAGGAAGTCGTCGTTATGAGTGAGGTTGTTGAATGAGTTCTGAAGTTTGGTGACAGCATCGCAGACCCCATCGACACTTCGGCGAAGCTCACGAGAGGGTTTGTCCTGGAAAATATGTTTGTTGGAGTTAAAGTTTTTTGAAAAATGCTCTGCGCCTTTACACGGTGAATTTTTTTTCTACGTGTTTTCAAAAGGTTTCATTCGCAGGCTCTGTCTTACTGTAGGGTCGCATGCTAACTGCGTGGCGACTCAGCGATACGTAGGTATTTTTCTCATTTTATTGAAAAATTAAATTGAATAGAACTTTTTCTTCGCATCATGTTGAATAGAATATTAACAGAATTTGATCGAAATTTATTACTGAAAAAAAAGCTCTGGAAACATGGTGCGCGCTCCTTCGGCTTAAGCGCGGTTTACTGTCAGAATTTAAAGACGCAAAATGAAATTTGTAAAAGCCCGTGTGAGATGGAGTGTAGAAGCCGAGAAAAAACATTGTTCGTTCAAAAACAACTCACCTCAAACCGCAAGGACCTCGTCGAGGTCGGTGTATGATGCAGGTAACCATTAGACGTCCTGATATTCTCCACAGAAGAATGAGAAGTGGATGGAATTTGTTCCAATTCATCGTCATCTTCCCCATCATCCTCCTCCAACCATTTCGCGTCTTCCTCGGCTTGTCGCTTTTGTTCCTCCATAGTACGGTAGAGCGTGAGGGACGGGAGGCTGGACATTTCGGCGACGATGACACCGGCTGGCTGGAAATAGAGCAGTTTATGGGGAGCACATTGTGAAGAATGCAAATGCGCTCTATTGAGAAAGTTTAAAACAAAGCACCCGTAACAAGGCTCAGAAGGCCGTAAGACCGCAGTACCCTTAACCGATAGAGCTTTTTCGGGAAATTTCAACGCGGGTTCAAACTCCATGGAGGTCAAATCTTGTTTTTTCCATTTTTCTGTTTTTTATACTCACATTCATGGGTTTCCCGACAATAATTTGGTCTGGTGGAACGTTTCGAAGAATTTGTTGTCTGACATCCTCGATAATCTGAAAATTAGAGCTTATTTATGATCTAGATCAGCGGAAATATCTGTCTGTGTGCTTAGATGTCCGGGTGTCCTTGCTGCTTGCTAGTTGATCTAGTTGTAAGTGAATCCGGATGTACGACTGTGTTTCCAGATGTTCGGGTGGCTAGTGCTTATTTAATTGTTTGTCTAGATTGGGTCCTCGGTTAGTCTAGATGCTCCTACGTGTGTCAATTCATTTGTCTGCCTGTCTGTCTGTTGTCTGTCAGTTTTTCTGTCGGTTTGTCCAGAAGTCCAGATGTCCTGATGTCAGGAACCCTACCCAATATCCCTGTTTTCTGGTTGCCTGACAGTAGATCAGGGTTGTGCAAAAAATTTTCGTCCGAAACAGTTTTTCGGAAAAAACCGAAAAATTTCCATAAAATCCGGTTTTTTAGTTGTAGGTTTTCATGTTTTTACCGCCTTTTCACCCATTTTTTATTGAGAAAATCGAAAAAATTCGAAAAAAAAAATTCAAGTTTTCCGAATTTTTTCGATTTTTCTTTCGGTCCGAAATTTTCCAAAAAAAAAAATTTTTTTCGATTTTTTCGGATTTTTTTTTATCGCACAGCCCTGGCCTGGATAACCCAGTGTCCCCCATCCTATTAGATCTGCATATCCGAATTTCCATGCTATCTGTCTGAACCTCCCCATATCCCGATGTCCTAGACCCCTCCCACTCACCGCATAAATCTGATCCACAGTCGGCCGCTTATTCGGCTCGATCGCCCACATCTTACTCCTCACAAAATTATACAGTGCAGTCGGACACTTCTCCGGGCACGGTGGCCGAGACCCTTGCTCAATGTGCATTATCACATCACTATTCGTCACTCCTGCCCATGGCTTGATTCCTAATGAGTAGATCTCCCACATACAAACTCCAAACATCCAAACATCCGATGCCATGCTGAACTGCCGGTAGTTCACCGATTCAGGAGCAAGCCATTTGATGGGGAGCTTTCCCCGGGATGCTGTGTACACCGCATCATAGTCCAGGGCTCGTGAGAGCCCAAAATCCGCGAGTTTCACACATTGCGGAGAGCACACCAGAATGTTCCTCGCCGCAATATCCCTATGGACAAATCGAGTGGAGTGGAGATAAACCAACGAGTCACAGATCTGAGAGCAAAATAGGGTGAGGGTCCTCAGAGGGAGCCAGTCCTTCTCTTGTTGGAGGTACTCTCGAAGCTCTCCGTGTGGTGCAAGTTCCAGCACCAGCCACATGGGTTGGTCCACACAGACACCAATGAGCTGGATGATATGGGCGTGTCGGAAGTTTCTCATGAGACTTGACTCCTGGAGGATTAGTTGAGTGTCCGCTGGCTCTGCGTCGGTTTTGCAGACTTTTACAGCCACAGCTATCCGTTCATCTTTCTCCTGGTCATGATAAATCGCTTTGTAGACATTTCCAAACTGTCCTCCACCGATTAACTCCTTCAATGTGATCAGCTCCCTCCTTAGTCTTATATTATTATCGATATTTGTTGGGGTCTTCGGCCGGATTATGGTTGCCTCGTGCATTGTCATTGTCTCACATCTTTCGATTCCTTTCAGCTTGAATACACTATCCCTTTGATTATACAACATTTGATAGCCGTCTAAAAGATGAGCTAGAGATTGAGCAAGTTCTTCTGTGGAGAGAGTTATCATGACTGGTTTTGCAGCACCGGAGAGTTTCAGCTGCATTAGGGTCTTCTCGGACCCGTTCTCCATTTTTCGGATGGTAATGTCGGCAATGGTACGGAGTTCTAGGAGGCGGGAGGTCTGGAAAATAGAGGTTCAACTTCCTTCAAGGCGCAGTGCAGACTCTCAGACAAAAATGATCAAAACCGATGGGAACATAAAAATAAAAATTTTTTCGAAACCTAGTCATGATTATACTCATTCTAACCGCCTTAATGAGCTGACCAAAAAGCACTCCTTTTCATTGTTCTAGACTCAAAACTAGCTGATTTACGGTATTTCGCGGCGGGACCCAATAACTACTCAGAATAAAATTTTTTTGGAAACCTAGTCATGATTATACTCGTTTGAATCGCCTT